TATATATATATATATATACAATTCTTATTGTCATTATTATTTCTTTTATATTCTGACGACGGCCGCTGTAAAAAAAATAAGAAAGGGCACCTCCCTGAAATAAGGTTTTGCAGGTTGGGATGTCTGAGTCAGGTACATTGGAAGGGGTTTAGGGGTTTAAGGTACAAGAGTTAATGGGGTGGCAAGTTAGCTGCAAGGGGAGTTCTAGGGCAAGGTTACTCAAACTATGGCCCACGGGAAGATTCTGGCGGTGGGTGATGGGCAGCGAGCGGAGGGTGGCACTGTCTTCACTCCCTCCCTCTCCCTGTTTCTCTCCTGTTAGTAATAGGAAGTTACATCAGAGAGAGGGAGAAATCATCCTCCAGGTGATTGACTGTCCTTCTCACCTTCTAAACAGGTATTTAATTTTTTTAATCAAAATACATATCAATTGAAAGGGGGGGGGGGTAGTATTGCACATAAACATGCCCCCATAAAAAACCTGTGCCATGTTTTGTGGGGGCATCTTTTATGTGCAATAGTACATATCTTTCAAAACAGATGTCCAGATTCCATGTTAGTGCAAAATCCATTTTATTAATAGTTGTAATTCAAACGACAAGCGCGTTCGGGGCCGCACAGTGTCCCCTTCATCAGGCTCAGAAATGCTCTTGTCGCTTGAGTGACAACTATCAATAAAATGTATTTGCACTAGGGATGCACCGATACCGAGTATTTGGACAAGTACTCATACTCGTCCAAATTCTCCAATACTTACCCCCATACCAGAACGTTCGGTGAGAGGGCGTTCTCCCTCTGTCCAGCAGTGCCGAGGGAGCATGGAGCCGGCATCCTTTCCAATTAGGAAGCCGGGCGGTGAGTTATGACAAGCTTCTTGATTGGCTAGGAAGCCGTCTTTACCTTTTCCTAAGCAGCCTGGCTTCCTAACCAAGTCAAACAGTAAGGCACAACCACAGTGCTGGTACATACAGTAGATCCTACATATGTAAACCACATCTCCTCCCTGCAAGCCTAGGCCAATTTACACGGGTAGCACAGAGAATAGAGGCAGAGTCTGGGTTTACAAGGCATTTACTGAACTTCTTAATAACGACACATGAACTTTCAAAGCTGCATCTTACAAGTTCAAAAATATGGTGTTAGCAAGAAACCCTCTTTTCAGAAACATTAAAGGAGAACTATGGGGTTATGGCTTTTCCCCCCCATAGTTCTCCTTAGGGTAACGAAGGACACAAACTAGCATTCTCCCGTCACCCTAGGCTCAGTATACCGCTAGCTGTAGCTCACGGTATACTGAGACGCCGCAGCTGAAGCGGATCCCGACAATTATGTCTGGATCCGCCCAGCTGCGTGAGTAACAGCTGGCTCTGCCTATCTAGAGGCAGAGCCAGCTGTACCCGCCCCCTCCCCCCTGTCCGTTCTGGACAGGATCGAGAGGTGAGCGAACGCCGGTATGTGTTCGCTCACCTCCCGATCTACTGAGCCGACCTGTGACAGTCTCCCACTCATAGTTCTCCTTTAATCTTCACGGTGCCTACAATGCAAGAGGGGGGCAATCTCTGTATTCTCAAATTCACTTCTCATATGGTGCAGGTGACCAGTGTTTCACCTCAAATATTTATTCTATATCCCAATGTCGGGGCATCACTCTCCAATGCTTTGCCCCGTAGGAGAAAGCGGGGTAGAACTCAGTTCTTTACAAGCTGTACTCTCTTTCCGTCTCTCCAACACAACTCACTCCTCTTACCTCAGAACGTGGCCTCCCCACTCCAGGCCACCTTAAGTGGACCAACCCTGCACCAGCTTATTTATAAAAGGCACCGTGCATGAAATGCCCCAGAGAAAACCCAGGCAGAGTAGTGACATCTGGCGGTGCCTGCCGGGACCTACCACAAGCATCCTACCAGATGTATAACAATAGGGCACCGACACCCTGTTACATATCATACATCTTGAATAAATATAGAGATAATATTTTTTTTTTGTTAAAGAATATATTTTATTAAACTTTTCCAATACATTTTTACATCATTGACCCGCTCAACACAGTATATAAAACATACATTCCTCTTTCCAGCTTCTACATAACAAATAAAATTTACGTCATTTTCCCTCTTATCCACTTTACTGGCTCTTAATTATCAAAACAAGTTTAACACTCTTTCATCTCTATCTTCCATACTTCACACTTCCCAGGACCGGATTTACCCCAAGGCCCGACCTCAGGGCAACAGGGAGTGGAGGGGCAGCAGGGGTGGGGAATTCCTATCTCCCGATGCCTGGGACATGCAGTTCCGGGCGCCGGGTGGGTAGTTGTTTTCTACATTTAGCCCTGCTTTTTGCAAGCAGAGCTAGATGTACAGCGGGGAAGCCGCCGATTGTTTTGTACGTATGTATGCAGCCTGCAAGTGTGCTACACTCCATGGAGGGGTTTGGCCGGTAGGGGGGGCGCATTGAGGAACCTGGCCTTGGGCCTGCAGAGAGAGTAAATCCAGCCCTGACACACCCCGATACCCCTTCGTCCCTCACCTATCTCATACAGACCCTCACACATCCTCCCACCCTCTTTGACCAACAATACAAGAAAATAAAAAAAAATATAGAGATAATATTACATTTTATTTACAGAGATCACAGTCTAGCAAACAGTTCCAGGTAGTAATTGATTTACATACGAAGGCACATACACAGTGTCAATAATAATTACATGACAGAAGGCTCAATTCACAAAACAACGATAAGGATCTTTATTTTCAGCCACGTGACTATCCAAACGAGTCCTAGACAATTTTCTCATTTCATTGGACTTTGGAAATCATTGTCGTTTTATAAACAATAAGGATCCTTATCTTGGCGGGTCAACTGAACCTATTTTACTGAAAAATATAGGTGACCCATGCACAGTTTTGAGATGTGTACATAGGGGGACAAGGAAATTAGTGAGACAATTAGATGCAGACAAGGCTGCCTCTCACTTCTGCAACAGTTTTTCTGGTTACTTGTGGACCCCGATCCTTTGGTTATGGACACAAACTGAGCCGGTACGTGACAGATTTATCATCATCTACAAGGAAGATTTTCATTCTAAACAGATGCAATTGATGGAGGTGCCCTCCGCACACCTTTCAGCAGTCCCGGCCAACAATCAAATAAATGGTGCTCGAAGTAACTTCACGGATGGCACCGTGCAAAACACAAGATTGAAGAAAATAGGTCACCAGCACTCCATAAGTTAAAATGAATGAGTCCTTTTAATGGACAATTATGTCACAGAAATCCAACATGGGCTCATGTTGGATTTCTGTGACATCATTGTCCATTAAAAGGACTCATTCATTTTAACTTATGGAGTGCTGGTGACCTATTTTCTTCAATCTTTCATTCTAAACAGACGCACAATTAAGAAGTGGTCGGGGTCACGTTTTATTGGGTTATGGTGCTACTTTAGAACAGCCAAGAGAGGAATTTATGAGTCCAGCTGTAATCTTGTAAGAAGTCTTCAATTCGGGCACAAGATCTCACGTCTCCTGCTTAGCATCGTCTTCCTGTGCGACAGAATTGATAAATGCCCCTTATAGTTTCTTGGAGTCTTGCCATGTATTCCATGAGGGTGTACATTCTTGTTCTGAGCAACCTTCTGACCATAGGAAAATATTCACCTCACAGTCTTGTGTCTGGGCCACCCTGCAAGATAATAAAACTCAGATGAAGAACACACAAGATGCATGCAAACGACTACTTAGGGGGTGCTCCGCTGGGGAAGTCAGACATGGAGAAAGATCTGGGGGTCCTCATAGACCACAGATTAAACAATAGTATGCAATGCCAAGCAGTGGCCAGCACAGCAAGATACTATCCTGCACTAAAAGGGGGATTATAACAAGGGATAAAAACATAATTTGACCACTTTATAAATCCCTGATTCGGCCTCATCTTGAGTATGCGGTTCAGTTTTGGTCGCCAACCCTCAGGAAAGACGTCCATGAACTCGAGAGAGTTCAGAGAATGGCTACCAAATTATACCAAATTAATAAAGGGGAAGGAAGGCCTGAGCTGTGAAGATCATCTCCAAAAATTAAAATTGTTCTCCTTAGAGGCGCTTAAGAGGGGACCTACTGTAATTGCAATCTTCAAAATCATTAATGAGGACCACAATATTCGGAACAAGATGTTTACACTTATTGATGACACAAGGACATAACAAGAGGTTAGAAGAGAGGAGGTTTAATCTTAGACTGCGAAAGGGGTTCTTTACTGTGAGAGTAGTAAAAATGTGGAAATTCACTTCCACAGTCAGTGGTATCCGCTGATAGCATTGATAAATTCAAGAAACTTCTAGATGAGTTTCTTAGTTCACACAATATCCATCATTTAAAATAAAGGCCAAAAAATAACCTCAGGTCTCCAACACTACTAATCCACTGCCTCTGGTGTTTAGCCCTTTGTCCCTATTGGGGTGAGTTACCTCTCATTTTGTCCTGGTGACCATTGTCACTGAGATAGACACTTTATCTGGACTTGAGTATCATGGTGCGACATTTCAATTTTAGAACCACTCAGTAATAAAACACTGGCTCCTATTCCTTCCCTACTCTGTCCCTGTCAAAGGACTATCTATGGGCTTTTCAATTTCTATACAAGTCTATAGGAATACAAAACCCACTTGAAGAAGGTCAAATGTCCCTGTCAGTGACTTCTCAGAAGTGTCTCAAACTGATGCCATTGACACAAACCCAAAGCCCACCTAGACAAACTATTAAAGAAGAATTCCTAAAAGTGCTCGTTTTGCCTAGTGGGCTAAAATCTCTCCCTCCCTTTCTCTCTCTCCCTCTACCTCCCTCATCCTCTCTCTCTCTCCCTCTCTCTAAAATCCCTCTCTCTAAAATCTCTCCCTCCCCAATCTATCCCTCCTCTCTCTCACCCCCCCTCTCACCCTCCTCTCTCTCCCCCCCTCTCTCCCATTACTATATAGGGCAGGGGTGGGCAACTTCGGCCCTCCAGCTGTGCTTTAAATACCAATCCCTACATGCCTCTGGGAGTCATGTCTGTAAGGGTCAGTCTTGCCTCAAGGCACTTGTAGTTCCACAACAGCTGGAGGGCCGGAGTTGCCCAGACCAAGTCTAGGGGATATCATCCCTTCCTATTGGCTTGTAAAATACTGTCTAATCTTAGTTCCATCCAATAAATGGCTTTCACCGGTGTGAGCCGCCCAGGGCTGCCCTATGAATAAAGCTCAGCAGTAAATAACACTACAGACACCTCAACGTTAGATGCGCCGTCAGTCACATTGACACCACGGATGGAGATGTGGTCGTGATCCATTGTCAGAAAAGTAACTGCGTCGTGGATTGATGGAAACACCTGGGATTTGGTAATTGTTTCATTGAACAGGTTCCCTTCCTCCAGACCGGTAATCACTGTCACTGTACGAAGGAAATGTTTATGTTAGTGTCGCTGTGTTTTAAAAAAACATTTATGAAACAAAATATCCGCCATCGATATCGGGTATATAAACGCCTCTGTAAGGGCAGGTTCACACCATTTACCGGACCAGATCTGGAACGCAGTGCATTGCGTTTTGCTGTGTTGGTCTGGAGATGATCTGGGTGTGGTGTGAATGGGCCCTCAGGGATAAGATTTCATATGCTGTTCTATAACTGCACACTGTAGAGATGTCTTAAAGTTGTTATTAAAGTTGTATTAAGGTCTGGGCGTTTTTTACCTTATTGCATTCTCTGCATTAGGGTAAAAATTACCCACCACCTTTTTTCTACCCCAGTCCCCCCCACACTTGCCTGTTAAGCTGCGCTTGTCCCCGCCGCCAGTCCCGAAGTGGTCCTCCGCTCCCGGAACTTCCAGGTTGCGGGGGGAGGATACTGGTAGCAGAGGAGCCGTAGGCTCCTTCTTCCATCAATCAAAGAGGGAAGGGGCGTGGCCTGCCACAGGGCTGTGTGTGTCTATGGACGTACACAGCCACTGTGGAAACGAGCGGGCACGGGTGCCTCCCATTAAAACGCTGGTGGCATCCGTGCAGGGGGCAGGGGTAAGATCGCTGCAGGGACCTACTAGAAAACGAGGAATGAAATTTTTTTTTTTTTTTTAAAGCAACAGCCTCCAGCAAAGGCGGGTCTCCTTAAAGGAGAAATGTAAACAAAATTAGGCTTTAATATCACTTTAATAAAGAATAAAATGTCTATACATACACTTTTAATTACAAACACTTCCTGTCTGAGATGGAAAAGGGGGATACCCTTTAGCACAAAGTGTGTATTCACAGGACACATCCCCTGACATCCCCATACATTGATTCTGCCAATCCCATTATTTCCTAATGAACTGATAGGCGGGATATTGGTTGAATCAGCAAAATGGCTGTCACTGATCACAGATGAAAGGTCCGCTTAAAAAGATTGCTATTTGGAAGACACTAAAGCAAACTTACCATTGCAACCCGCAAGGTACACGTCCACTTCTATTTCAGCAAAATTATTTAAAATCTGCAAGATAAAAATAACTTATATATATAAAAAAAGACATTGACACTTCTACAAACAGATTTACACCAGACCATATTTATTATGGGCTTCAATAGGAACTTCTTGTAATAAAAACCAATCACTTGGGTGACTGGTCTTGTCTCCGCCCCCTCCTGTAATAAAGAGCGGTCACTGCTGCTCTCTTTCCTTGTGCAGGGTGACTGGTCTTGTCTCCGCACCTTACTAGAGCTTTCTGCAGGCAGCCTGTAGTGGGTGGAGCCTGCTGGACTCCTCCCATAGCGCTGCTCTCTGCCCAGGCTATTTACAGCACAGTGATGATGTAACTGCTACTTGTACAAGGTAATAACTGTGTTTGCAAAGGCATTTGGGGCGCATAAAATGGATTTATATACTTTGTGGTTATTGTGGAATATGTTTAATTAATATTTTTTTGCCCAGAGTTTAGCATTAAGGCTCCTGTGGAACTCAAAAAATGTTGGTTTTGCCATCACTTTCTGCATCAGAGACAATGGTCAGCAGAACCAGTAGGGGGGTGAATCTCCCCAGTGGAGACACACACAGGTGTAAAAACCCAAGAGGGGTCCTGACCCTTCTCTCCTGTATCCAAAGCTAAAATAAAAGCTCTGGCTTGACACACACTTGAAATTAGGAATTGGCTGAATGGACAGGTATGATAGAAAACGGCAATCAACATTGTGTGCCATCAGTTGCGTCACAAGGAGGGTGCGGCCCTCACCCGGGTGACACCATCGGAGGGGGTGACATCTGAAAAGTTGGGCACTCTGTCAGCCCGACAGCTGCTCGAGAGAGAGAGAGAGGGGGGGACCCGGCAGGATACCTAATCCCGCCGGGTGAAAGTTCCCTTCCCTCTCTGCTGGCGTCCATCACCAAGATGGCCGCCGGCAGGTAACAGTGTGTCGTCACGCGCGTAGGCGATGACATCACGGCCGGGTGTTACCCGCACTGGGTGTCACCCCACCTCGGGATGCCTCTGTGTACCATTAGGAACATTGCGACAATCGATGAACTCACATTTCTTAAGACTTTCACACAGACGGTATCTACGAAATTCACAGCAGAAAAGTCCAATATCAATGAGTGGAAATTCGGTTTGTCCAAACCCAGAGACTGCAGCAGACTTCTCCCTCCGGGGTCATGGCTGGATGCCTGGCCGGGTACAACGATAATGGACCCCTCGGTCATATCGTGCTCTTTATTCTATCATTATGGACGGGATGGGAAACAATAATATAAGTCTTCCGATTTTTTTATAAAAAAGTAACATTTTTGAAAGGAGTTGTAAAGTCCCAGCAGATCCTCTCCTCTTATCACATCAGCATTGTAATAGGAATACATTAGAGATGCACCAATACCATTTTTCCAGACCAAGTATAAGTAGCGATACTTTCCCTCAAGTACTCGCTGATACCAATTACTGATACTATTTTTATGTCATGTGACAGTTTTTCTAAAACAATACAGGCTAATGATTTTAGGACAGTGGTGGAGTGCCAGGACCCGGTCACAGCTGCAGCCCGGGTAGTTCTGGCACTAACTCCAAGCTGTGCAGGGACTGCAAATCCCAGCAATACATTATACAGCAATGCAGAATACCAGCAGCTATAGAGGACTACAAATCCCAGCAATACATTATACAGCAATGCAGAATACCAGCAGCTATAGAGGACTACAAATCCCAGCAATACATTATACAGCAATGCAGAATACCAGCAGCTATAGAGGACTACAAATCCCAGCAATACATTATACAGCAATGCAGAATACCAGCAGCTATAGAGGACTACAAATCCCAGCAATACATTATACAGCAATGCAGAATACCAGCAGCTATAGAGGACTACAAATCCCAGCAATACATTATACAGCAATGCAGAATACCAGCAGCTATAGAGGACTACAAATCCCAGCAATACATTATACAGCAATGCAGAATACCAGCAGCTATAGAGGACTACAAATCCCAGCAATACATTATACAGCAATGCAGAATACCAGCAGCTATAGAGGACTACAAATCCCAGCAATACATTATACAGCAATGCAGAATACCAGCAGCTATAGAGGACTACAAATCCCAGCAATACATTATACAGCAATGCAGAATACCAGCAGCTATAGAGGACTACAAATCCCAGCAATACATTATACAGCAATGCAGAATACCAGCAGCTATAGAGGACTACAAATCCCAGCAATATATAATACAGCAATGCAGAATAATATCATCGGCTATAGAGGACTACAATCTAATCTATATGTTGAATATATTACTTTAATTTAAAAGGGAAAGTAGATATGGTCAATCAAAGCTTGTATCCAATCGATAAAATCTGAGTATTGCTTTAACATGTTACTTTATTTTTCAATCTTTTTACATCTGCACCTTTCGTTGTGATAATCCCTTGTAATCCTGCCATGAAAGACCTTGCATTGGGCACTTTCTTTTACAGGGTGACAACACTTTATCCCTGTCTCCCAGTTGTGCTCTTGCGTTGTCACACAGGCTTCCCATGTATGTATTAAATATTGATGTCAATGAGTAACGCTCACCTCTTCAATTTCATATTCAAGTTTTCCAAGTTCGAGGCGATCAAAAGCCATATTGTCATGTCCCGAGACCTGTGTAAGGGAAAGCAGGACAGTAAAATATACAGACTCATACGTAGGTATGTGCAATGGAAGCGATCAACATCTGCTTCAAAGAAATGAGAAAATAAAGAACAAATAAATTGCATTTTGGCACTAGTTACTGCGAAATCTATTTGCAAGTTATTTTAATACCTGTGCAAGTTTTTAGCTTTCTCCCTCCAGTGCTCATTTGCTTCTTAGACAGTGCAATCAGCATCTACTCTGAACATTCTTAGCAGATAAGCCACAGCGAGATTATATTTCTATTTCCTTTACTTTGAGCTATTATGACTGACTATTCAGCTTCAAGTCAGAAAGTGAAAGGTCACCTGACAGTGGACGGCTGTTGCCCTTTAAACTAGCTGACCTCAAACCCTGCACTCACAAGGAACACAATGGTGTGAACTTATAAAACGTTCATAGCGCGAACAGCTCGGTAAATGTCTGTGTGGTAGATGGACACATCATTATGGCCACTAGATGGAGCCGAGGAGCACAGGAACTTGCACTAGATGGAGCTGGGGAGCACAGGAACTTGCACTAGATGCAGCCGAGGAGCACAGGAACTTGCACTAGATGGAGCTGGGGAGCACAGGAACTTGCACTAGATGCAGCCGAGGAGCACAGGAACTTGCACTAGATGGAGCTGGGGAGCACAGGAACTTGCACTAGATGCAGCCGAGGAGCACAGGAACTTGCACTAGATGGAGCTGGGGAGCACAGGAACTTGCACTAGATGCAGCCGAGGAGCACAGGAACTTGCACTAGATGGAGCTGGGGAGCACAGGAACTTGCACTAGATGCAGCCGAGGAGCACAGGAACTTGCACTAGATGGAGCTGGGGAGCACAGGAACTTGCACTAGATGCAGCCGAGGAGCACAGGAACTTGCACTAGATGGAGCTGGGGAGCACAGGAACTTGCACTAGATGGAGCCGAGGAGCACAGGAACTTGCACTAGATGGAGCCGAGGAGCACAGGAACTTGCACTAGATGGAGCCGAGGAGCACAGGAACTTGCACTAGATGGAGCCGAGGAGCACAGGAACTTGCACTAGATGGAGCCGAGGAGCACAGGAACTTGCACTAGATGGAGCCGAGGAGCACAGGAACTTGCACTAGATGGAGCCGAGGAGCACAGGAACTTGCACTAGATGGAGCCGAGGAGCACAGGAACTTGCACTAGATGGAGCCGAGGAGCACAGGAACTTGCACTAGATGGAGCCGAGGAGCACAGGAACTTGCACTAGATGGAGCCGAGGAGCACAGGAACTTGCACTAGATGGAGCCCAGGAGCACAGGAACTTGCACTAGATGGAGCCGAGGAGCACAGGAACTTGCACTAGATGGAGCTGAGGAGCACAGGAACTTGCACTAGATGGAGCCGAGGAGCACAGGAACTTGCACTAGATGGACCCTTGGAGCATAGGTGTTTTCTCTAGATGGAGCCGAGGAGCAAAGGAAATTTGTCCTTGGTCATTAAGTCACGACCCAAGTCGCAGTACAATGGAATGCACAGCATTGCAGTACCGAGCGTTCGGATGCAGGTGGTCGGATTGTGAACGGGAGGTGCGTTTGGGGTGTCATTCAAATTAATGGCAACGCAACACACTTTCCACACCAGAACACGTAGCAGGTGCGATTGCGTGGTACAGTGCATTAATCGCATGGGACTGTGCGATTAACACATTGTACTAGTGTACCTTATGAGAACTGGAGGTGACCCTCAGCTTGGGGTCCAGTGTGGGCTGCTGTGCTGTGATGGAGCTCCATTCATATGTGCATTGCTTGTACAGTTCCCTTGCGCGCCCTGTAGAAGTGCCAGGAGACAGAATGCGACATCAGTCTAGTCCAGGCACCTCCTCAGGGCACATGTGGGTGCTTTAGGCAATGCAATTATGGATGGAGCTCCCTTATGGCCATACTTCCAGCCCACTGCATCTCAAGCTGAAACGCAGGGCCAGGCAGCAGATTTTTAATTAGCCGCTCGTCACCCGAACTGACGGCGCTGCACTAGGGGAAAGCTGAGGAGCTTCTCACCTAGAAAAGTGGAAGGCATGCGGGGACCCACTAAACACGGGGTTGCGACCCACTTTTGGGTCACGACCCACTTTTCGAACACGACCCACTAGTTGAGAACCAAGGCACTAGATGGACCCTTGGAGCATAGGTGTTTTCTCTAGATGGAGCTGAGGAGCATCGGAAATTTGTACTACATGAAACCTTGGGGCATAGGAAGATTCCTCTAGATGGAGCCATGGAGCTTAGGAAATTTCCTCTAGAGGGAGCCAAGATCAATAGGAAATTTCCTTTAGATGGAGCTAAAGAGAATAGGAAATTTCCACAAGATATAGACTAGGAGAATAGGAATTTCCACCAGATAGAGCCGAGGAGCATAGGAATTTAAGACTAAGGTAATTAGAAATTTGCATACACCGTAATGTGATTGGTTTTCTTTAATTTACTTATTTCATATGTGAAAGAAGCACTGGGAAATCCAGTCTGGCCAGGAGTGGATGTTCTTGGGAATGTGACGAGGCAGTCAGAGCATGTTGCTCTACAGAGAGACATTGTGTGATGCCAGCCCTGGGCAGGCAAGAGCTACTTTTTGAGGGAATTTGGACACAGGTTCTATTTGTCTGCTATAACGGGGTCTTGTTTGTGTAGTTTGTGGATTTATTTTTGCATATGATATTTTCTTGCTGTAGACAAGCTATTTTTAAGCTGGAGATTGATTGGTTGGTGTGGACGAAGCCACTATTTGTGGTTCATTTAATTATTAAATGGATCTTAAAGGGACGCGCTACTAGCTCGCTCTTGGCAGACCCTCCCGGACCTTAAATACGATGGGAAATTTGGTTTGCACTGCCAAAAAATTTGTAAGGCACCCCTGCTTACCTTTTTGCTGAGTTCATTTTCCTTCTTCGCTTTTTTAATGGCTTTCTTTTCTCTCTTCTTCAGTTTCTTTAAGGCTTTCCTCTTCTTTTCAATAAGTCTGTCAACATCAAGACCGCACTGTTGCAAAAGGAAGTACAAGCAGAAAGACGGCTCCTTAGATGTGATGGCTGCAGTCATTTCCTTTTTTCCTTTACTTTTACCCTGTGATCCCGCCAGTAACACACTTCCTGTCTTAGGGTGACAACGTTCACTCGCTGTACTGTATCTGTGGAGGGAGCCATGGTTGTCACCCTAGGCTGCTCTACTGATTTGGACTACCAACCCCTCCTCCATTCCCCATCTCTGTTGTAATTCGCTGAAGATAGCTGGGAAAACTAATTGTATGAAATTTCAGTTGAGCTCACAGGAAGTAACTAGGAAATTGGCATTCTGGCAAGATAAGCAGGTATTTTTCTGTGCTTGCAGAAAATGTACCTTGCTTAAAAAAAAAAAAAAAAGAATGCAGCCACCACATCTAGGGACAGGTAAGCTGCAATATATGATATTTTTGTTTTTGGGTTGAGATATCCTTCAAGGGTGAACCACAACTGTTTCCAGAGAAAAGGTACCTGAAAGCCGTGTGATTCTTCCCCCTGGGCGGAGAAACCCTTCCATGTAGTGCAATCACATCACTGTTACCTTCTGATACAGAGCCTGGGTGTACTGCTCAGCGTTGGCGTAGAAGACTGTCGATGAAGAGTGGAAGATCTTAATTCCCGGCAGCTCTTTGGCCTGTGAAATACATTTTGTAATTTATCATAGAAAGAGACAAAAAGAAGCAAGAAAGATAATAAACAAAAAACTGTTTACAATGCTGATTATTTCCCCCACTTGATGTAAAGGGCTGATGTAAGTAACCTTAAAATGACAGCACTGGGCAAAGCAAAAGGGCTGTGATTGGCTGAAAGTTCTGCCTCTCCCCTCTCCACCCCCATGAGTGGTGCTGTGCAGGGGATTAGCAGGAGGTTAAAGTGGAAGTTGGCATATTAAGACTCCTCTGCAATAAAGGCCTCTTACCTTACTACTTTGCAAGATGCTTTAGATTGTACACCGAGCCACACATGTGCAGCTTAGTGCACGCTTATAGCACACCTCGGTGGCAGGATGGATGAACTCCCATGTGTATGTGAGGGTGCTCAGGGTGTTATGTCATCCTGGCTCAGCCAACCAAGATGGCCAAAGACCCCGAACCCAGAAGAAGCCGCAGAAGGTAACTCGTCATCACTGGAGGGATGTGAATTCTGAAGGCCCAGGCATAACTAGGAACCTTAGGGCCCCGGTGCAAGAATCCATGAAGGGCCCCACCATCAAAAAATGTTGGCACTTTGGCGGTTACTGGGGTAGTGCATGTGTGCAGTTCCAGGAGGCAATGTCGGTGCATTGGCAGTTACTGGGGCAGTGCATGCGTGTAGTCCCATGGGGGCAATGTTGGTGCCTTGGCAGTTATTGGGGGAGTGCATGCGTGTAGTTCCAGAAGGCAATGTTGACAGCTCAGCAGTTACTGGGGCTAGGCCCTCTTCTTTCTTTCCCAGGCCCACTCCCAGGTGGCAGAACGCCAGGGCCTGGTCGCACATGTGACCCTGGTAGTTCTGCCAGTGATTGAAGAAATCTCTCCAAAGTGAGGGGAAATTCATTATTAGATCTTCTTGCCGCAAAAAGGTGGCCCCATTAGAAGAGTTTCTCTCACCTCCTGTTCCTGTGACCACTATAAAATTTTGAATCTGCCATCATTTTCCATCCAAGAGACGATGGTCACCAGGACAAATAGAGAAGGTGAAGCCAACCAGTAGGGGCCAGAGATGGCAAAAAACTCCTCACATGGGTTCTAATCCCATCCAACAATGAGGTTATAAGCTAGGGACAAGATTTTCAAAAACTACCATGGGGCACTCAGGGGCAGGGACTAACATACTGTGCATAGACCAGTGAGTGCGAATACATTGTGAACGGAGGCTCATACCAAGATTTAACCAATCATATTACCTGCTGACATCTGGACACATCTCTGTAGACCCCGGTATCATAAACTTGTCCGAGGATGGAGTAATTGGACCTTTTTTAGAGAGAAAAAAAACCCATAGTCACATTTCATAAAAGTGGACCTAGCATCAGATACAGTTTTAATGTTAACTGCACACTAAGTAACGTGTGAGTGTGACCGTTACAGGTATTTTATTACTTCTCACCTCACCTCACCTCTTACCTCTCACAGAGATGACAGAACACCCCCTTACAATGCCTTCATCTGCTTTCCTATTTAGAAAGACGGCACCATCTTTGCTCAGGCATCTACCAGGGTCACCATCTACTTCCTGGACGTGATGGTGGCTCAGAGATGACACAATCATGTAAATTCTGATGTCTGTGCAGTTCTTGGCTGTGTTCACAAAACAGCTCCTGAGTAACCTCTCACCTTGTGACTTGATACAATAGCTGGGTGGGATGCCGGCCAGAGCATCCCGCTCAGCTCCTGCCAACCAGTGATGTCAGTGAGCTGGGCAGGACACCGGACAGAGTGTCACACGTTGCTAAGAGCTTTTAGCAACCTGGGACGCTCTAGCTGGACAGGGGGTGGCAGGCACCCCTCACGTAAACCAATGAGATGCTACCTGATGCAACCACCTCATTATAGGGCTGGGCCTGATGCATCCTCCTGTCTGCAGCAGACTGATATCACCATCTCAGTTTATATGGCTGAAGACTAAAAAACGGGGTAATCGTCTCAAGAGTCAAAAAAAACCCTCATTGGTTTCAGTATTTGTAAATTTACTTGTACACATGCTGAACTCCTGGTAAAGATCTTTTCACAGCAAGAATTTCCCCTCCTGCCTGAGAGAAAGGATTGTGTGCATGGGCTGTAAGTTTAGAATCCATCAGTGTCCTATTGCCCATTGCTTAAGCCCTGATAAAGGGGGATTCCTGACCTCTGAAATGCATTGGCTGTGCATGTCTTCTTGTGACCATTTGTGAAGCCAATAAAGGTTTTTTATGACCTTGAGATGATTACCTGGTGCTCTTTTGTAGTCTTCATTCACATAGGCTGAGTTGGTGATATCGGTCTGTTGCAGGCAGGAGGAGGCATTTCTTCAGTCTCCTCTCCCCCATTGATCAGACTGCAACAATGTACGTGTGCAGCAGGTCTTTATTTATGTGCATTTCTTATTCTAGACATTCCATCTCTCTGGAGAGCCCCCCATTCTGTGAAGAGCTGCTGGAACCAAGCCATTAGGCCCAAATATTGCTCCTATTTGACTAGAGAAAGTTTGTGATCCAGCGCCTCATTACCACTCACCCTTGGATGCTCTCAGTCTAGGCAGAGTCACAAGGATGGAGCTCAAGGATGCATTTTTAACGATAGAAGTTGGATCTTTTCTGAAAATGTATACTGTTGCCGTCGACTTTAAAGAAGTGCGATTATGAGAAGTAACTTTCCCTTGGAAAACCAAGACTTCTAACTTAGTTGGCTGCCAGAGGCAAAACAGACGCCTTTCCTTCCTTTAGTTTGTATGCAAGTTCTTACATGCAATTCTCCAAACAAGACAGCACCTCACATTACGGGATCAGTAGACAGATGGTACCTGATAATTTCACCGAAAAATATTACCAAGGTCATAAAACATTAAGCTCTGTGATCCAGGAGAACACCAAGTCTGGTAAACAAGAGAACAGAACAATGTTCTGCATGAGAGCAATTCATTCAGACAATGTTTGGCCAACAAATTAGGAGAAAATAAATAGCTCAGCTACCTGTGCCAGCTTGCTACAACATTGATTAAAGTAAGCTTACTGAAAGGTTGAGTATCCTGGCGTTACCAATCAGATGTCACTTTACTGAAGATAAACCATTGAAAGCTGAATTCTGAAGATGCAGTTTTCTGCCCCCAAAAATTAGTCCAAAGTTATTAATGGCACGGTCTGAAGGCTCTCACCTTACCAGGATAACACCCTCTAGGTTTATATATAACCCACATTTATATTCAGGACTTACAATCTTGTCCAATTGTAACATTAGAATCCACTTACATCTGTGTTCGAAATATAACAGTCAGTAAAGAAAATGCCACAGAAACTGCCAGACCGATGTCCATGTTTAGCAAAATTGTTGCAGCAAAGGTCACCCACCAGATAGTCTGAAACAGAAAAAAATTATTATCTAAAGCCGTGGTTTTTAACCTTTTTGTAGCAACAACACTCTTTACCCAGTCTAAAATAAGGTCCCCCTTTCACATCAGAAGCCTTCTTCATATCAGAGTTTTCCCTTTTAACATCAGAGTCCCCCTTCGACATCTGGAACCCCCCTTGACATCAGAGTCCCCTCCTTCTCATCTAAGTTTTCCCTAACATCAGATTCCCTCCTCATCACAATCCCTCCCTCACATTAAAGCCCACCCTTTCACATCAAAGTGCCCCCCCCCCCCCCA